CGTTTCACCTTTCAGACTCAAATGACACTGCGGATCAATTTACAACTAAATGCATCCTATCTGTCTCGCTTACTCATACTGTCACGCTAGCACTATTCTTTGTCTCATCCTTTCTCTTCTTTGTGGTCGTGTTTGTTGGAATTGTTGTCTTAGTAAACAGCTCAGAAATAATGAGTCCCTGGTGTAATGTGATCAGCTCAATGAAAAAACTGTATTTTTTTTTCTTTACTGTTTTCTTCACAAAATGCCATAATTGTGTCAAATACCGTATTGTCCCGAATATAAGATGATATTTTTTTCTTGGAAATACATCTGAAAAAACGCGGTCGTCTTATATTCAGGGTCTAGACTTTGACATGTCAATAATACACCCACAACAATAGGTGGCGCCAAATACGCATAAAACGAGTGTGCCATGAAATACGTAATGTAATGCGTGTTGTAAAGATCGCGAGTAAAAACAAAAGAAAAAGAAAACCTTACAGCTGCACGAGTCGTGACTGTCACGTTACCCTGATGGGACCAAACTCCCTTTGTGATTTTAAAACGTAAGACAGTACCCAGATTTGAAGACTACAGTAAGATTTAACTTCGACTGTTAATAAGATTTTGGTAGGCTACTAATAGATGGATAGCCTAAATGTTCTAATTCAGATGGGCTACCTGTTTTTTTTTATTTTTTTTTATGGTATATCAAAAAGTGTATATTTTTAAAACGTGATTGTTGGTACATTTTACCAGTTTTTACCATACTTTCAAAACAAAAATTAAAATAGGAAAAATATGCAATATGAAAATAATTGAAGACAAAATATGTTTTACTGAGAAAAAAAAAAATTTGGTTTTTAAAAAGCCTTTTTCCAAAAGGTACATCTGGAAAAAGGGGGGGTCGTCTTATAATCAGGGTCATCTTATATTCGGGCCAATACGGTACTATCGGATGAGAACAAAAGCTTGAACTTAAGTTGCATAATTACACTGTCTTCTGTAGAGCTAACTTTGAAGTCATTTAATAATTGATTAACTTTGAACTGAATTGAACTTTTGGTATATCAAAAAGTGTATATTTTTTTTAATGTGATTGTTGGTACATTTTACCAGTTTTTACCATACTTTCAAAACAAAAATTAAAATAGGAAAAATATGCAATATGAAAATAATTGAAGACAAAATGTGTTTTACTGAGAAAAAACAAGATTTGGTTTTTAAAAAGCCTTTTTCCAAAAGGTACATCTGGAAAAAGGGGGGGTCGTCTTATAATCAGGGTCGTCTTATATTCGGGCCAATACGGTAATTACACCTACTCAGAAGTCGTGACAACCAGATAGAGAAATCAAACATTCAAACATGACAAAAGAGATCATGTACAGTCAAAAATAAACCCTGACAGGGTGATCAGGTATCACTTGTGGGGCTAAAATTGTGTTATTTTAGCTGCAATGTAACACGTCTGTGTCTATTTGAAGTTCTCTCTTACATGTTTTTTAATTTGGTTTTTCCTGAACATTTGACCTACTTGAAGGCTTTTATGCTCACTATATATGCAACCTGCTCACTTTGCTTAACCTGCTCACTCAGTCATTTTGATTCAGAAACACATTTTGAGTTTTATCCACAGAATAAAAAAGGAAAGTCTCTGACAAGTATATAATTATTGTTTCTAAAATGGCCTCTAAGTATTACGTTTTTTTTTTTGATAATTAATAAATAGAGTGGCACCTTAAAGAGTGGCATTTTTTTCTATTAAAATTGACCATTTTAAAGCAGAGACTTTTTTCAAAAAAGAAAGAAAGAAAGACAGAGAAAAGAATAGAAAAAAGAAAAGAATTTTTGGAAAATGCACTTTTTTTTCAGTTTATAATAACATTTCTTCACAAACACGTATTCCAAAATTCTCTATTTGTTGATTTGTTGTTTGTTCATTCTCACAAATGGTCTGTCAGTTCATGTCTACGTTTAAAACACTTTTAAGACTGAAAACTTATAGCATCCAGTTACTTATTCCCGAAAAGTCCCAAAACAGTTTTTCTGCTAGTGAGAGACAGAAGTCTTTATGCACATATCTGTCATTATGGCTTAAAATTCACATCATTCAAAACTTTTCACAGATTCTGAGTGGAGCCCAGAATGCCAAAACTCTGAAACAAAACGCTTTCTCTCATGTAACAGAAAACTGTTCACTTATCTATGGCATTCGCTATTGAGTGCTGGCTTCTCACTCATCTGTGAAGTTTTAACACATTCACCTTGTTCCTCCAGTTCCTGCTCAAGATGATTTTGTCAATGACACCATTTACCCAATTACTCACCTCCAGAGAAACTCCACTGGATGACTTCACATGTGTTTACAAAGTTTTGAGTTTCAGAATCGCCCATTTGAGTCAGTTTCTCTCATGGCTGGACTTTATCTTTTTTAGGAGTACTGGATATGGCGTATACTTGTTTAAACTTGCATCTGAAGCCATTGCAATGCAAAGCTGATTTGCACAATTGGTTTATATTTGCCACAGTCCCTACTCTGAATGTTAACATTACAGAATATATAGAATTATAGGTCTTCCTTTTAATTTTCAGTCTTTCTAGAGCCTGTTTGAAGCTGAAGCAAGCTCAGACATACGCTTCATATCTCAGTTCTACTCCATACTGAAGACACATCAGCAAATCTAGGTGTAGGAGACAGTGTTTTGCAGCAGCAATTTTTGCTGTATTTGCCATCCATATTATATTTTTGCTTGTATTAGCTGGAATGGCAGTGTAACACTGTTCGTAGGTCGGGAAGAAGGAGACGGGAACCGGCGAACATTTAAACAAAACTTTAATAAAATAAACAAACACAAAATAGCGCGACAGCCCCTCGCGGACGACTGTCGCGCACAACCAAAACCAAAACACAAAATAAAATCCAGGCCCGGTCCTCCCTAGTCTTTCCTTTCTCGCGCAATCCTCTGCCGGCTGGTCGCTCCCGCCTCACAGTAAGCGCCGCTTGCGCTACCGCCAATACCGTCCGTGTTTTCACTTCAGTAAATCAGTTTTGGTGAATACAAACTACGTGATTATT